TTTTTTTTTTTTGGTATATTTAACAGGGATCCATTTATATTTACACTTTTGGTGAGGAGCCAACCTTTAATAGAGTCCTAGAGGCTTGTGATGGGAAATTTCAGGCAATTGACTTTATCTCACCTGGAAATGAATACTGCATGGTAAGGAATATTTTAGCATTTCACGGTAGGATTTAAAGATAAGATTTTGGAAGTTTATGTGCAACCTTATACAAATAGGAGCCAGAGGGTATTAAGGATGTGGTAGAAATGCCAACCACTTCCATCACTGAATGTCCTCCCCAGTTAGAATGACATCATTATATTTTGACTTCATAACATTAAGTCTCTGAAAACATCCAGAGCAATTAAAATCTGAGGAGTCGGGGCGCCTGGGTGGCTCAGTCGGTTAAGCCTACGACTTCGGCCCCACTCATGCTCTATCTCTCTCTGTCTCTCAGAAATAAATAAATGTTGGGGCGCCTGGGTGGCGCAGTCGGTTAAGCGTCCGACTTCAGCCAGGTCATGATCTCGCGGTCCGTGAGTTTGAGCCCCGCGTCGGGCTCTGGGCTGATGGCTCAGAGCCTGGAGCCTGTTTCCGATTCTGTGTCTCCCTCTCTCTCTGCCCCTCCCCCGTTCATGCTCTGCCTCTCTCTGTCCCAAAAATAAATAAACGTGAAAAAAAATTTTTTTAAGAAATAAATAAATGTAAAATCTGAGGAGCCATCCTGTTCATATTCATCACCCAGGTTTTCCAAGCCAGAGCTTTAAACAGATTCATCGCTCATGAGTTATTAACACTCATTAAACTAGTAGTATTTACCCTTTGTCAGAGTAGCATAGACCCTCTGAGGATGGAAATGAAATACTTGCCATGCACAAAATATGAATTTGACTTACTTAGGAAAAAAAACCCAACTGCTACATTTTGGAAAGAAACTGTTTTCTTCCTGGTGTTTAACTGTTTCCTTTTTATTGATCCCAAGAAACATTTCATTTTTCATATGGTTTATCAACAAAGCCATTAAAATTTTGGGAGTTCTAGCAAAAATATGTACAAGATCTATATGAGAAAAGTTACAAAACTCCTTTGAATGAAATCAAACAAGATCTAAATAAATGGACAAATATTCCATGCACATGGATAAGAAGACTCAAAATCGTTAAGGTATCAGTTCTTTCCGAACTTTCCAAACTTAACTTATCAGCGCCCACCACAGTCTAGTATGTGGTAAGATTCAATGCAATCCCAATCAAAATCCCAGCAAGTTATTTTGTGGATATCAATAAACTGATTCTAAAGTTTATATGGAGAAGCAAAGATTCAGAATTGCAAATACAATATTGAAGAAAAAAATGTATGACCAACACCACCCAATTTTCAAGATTTATTTTAAAGCTACAGTAATCAAGACAGTATGGTATTGGTGAATAACTGGACAAATAGATGAATAGAACAGAAAAGAGGACCTAGAAATAGATCCATACAAATATAGTTGACTGACCTTTGACAAAGGAGCAAAAACAATTCAACTGAGAAGGGACAGTCTTTTAACCAAATGGTGCAGGAACAACTGGACATCCACATACAAAATCATCATCATTGTCATCATCATCATTATCATCACCATTGAGTCACAGACTTTACACCTTCCAAAAAAATTAACTCACACTGGACCTAAATGTAAATAAAAAACTATAAATTCCCGTAAAATAGCATAGGAGTTTGGCAATGACTTTTTCAACACAATACAAAACATAATCCATGAAAGGAAAAACTGATACGTTGGACTTCATTAAAATCAAAGGCTGATACACTAGGAAAGACAATATTAAAAGAAAGTAAAGACAAGCCACAGACAGGGAGAAAAATCTTTGTAAAACATGTATCTGATAATGGACTGGTTTCCAAAATGTGCAAAGCATTCTTATAGCTCAACACTAAGAAAATAATCAACTCCAGTAAAAAAATGAGCAACACATTGGAATACTTTACCACAGAAAATATACAGATAGCAAATAAGTATATGAAAAGATGTTCAACATTAGTCATCATTTAGAGAATTGCAAATTAAAGCAATGAGATGACACCACACACCTATTAGAATGTCTAAAATCTAAAACGTGGACAATACCAAGTGCTAGCGAGGATATTGCAGCAACAGAAGCAATTACTCATTGCCTTTCGGAATCAAAATGGTATAGCAACTTTGCAAGTTTGGCCCTTTCTCACAAAGCTAAACACTCTCTTACCTTATGATTCAGCAACTGGGCCTCTTGGTATTTGAAAACCAATTTGAAAACTGGGCCTCTTGGTAGTTGAAAATGTGTGCCCACACAAAAACCTATACATGAATGTTTATAGCAAGTTTATTCATAATTGCCAAAACGTGGAAGTAACCAAGATATCCCCCGGTAGGTGAATGAATAAACAAACTGTGATATATCCATTCAATGGAATATTATCCAGCACCAAGAATAAATGAGCTATTAAATTGTGAAAGGATATAGAAGAGGCTTAAATGCATAATGTGAAGTGAAAGAAGCCAATTTGGGAAAAAGCTATATGATTCATTCTATGTGATGTTCGGGAAAAAGAAAAACTATGGAGACAGTAAAAAGATCAGGGGCTGCCAGGGACTCAGTGGGAAGGAGGGAGGGAAAGATGGAGGTGGAACACAGCGAATTTTTAGGGCAGTGAAACTATTCTGTATGACACTGTGATGGCGGATACATATACATTTGTTAAAGCCTGTAGGATGTATGACACAGAGAGAACCCTAATAGGGACTATGGGCTTTAGTCAATAATAATGTATCAATGTTGGCTCCTCAATTGTAACAAATGTACTACACTGAAGGCAAGATAATAATAGAGGAAATTTTATGTATCTGGTGGGGGGAGGGTAAGGGCAACTTTGTACTTTCTGCTCAAAATTTCTATAGTACTGAAACTGGTCTTAAAAGCAAAATCTATTAGTTTAAAAAATGTATAATTTCTTGTTTCTAGCTTTACTCATTAAGCGATAATCCTGTTGAATTTCTAAGTGATTATGTTACATGGAAAAAAATTTTTGACTTCACTTTTCTGATCCTAAATAGTTACTATGTGTTACTTAAATTGTATTAAAGATAATTTAATTTTTGTTTAAATCAGAAGTACTGGTGTTGTGATTGTCATCATAATCCATACAAGTAAAATGAAGTATTATAGTAAGTCATCCAAGTTATTGACCTACTAAAAAGGGATTTAGAATATGATTCTATAACAGAGTCTTGTTTTCTGTTTAGGGTTTTATTTTTCTTTCTTTTACAGACACTCACACATTCAGGGGAAGTTTGTGTTTGGTGTTTAGAAGATGGTACTTGTGCCAGCAGGATTTGTCTGAATACCCCAGTAAGTGTGGCTTAGAAATGGATTAAAATATTGAAATCTAATGTAATCTATGTTTTCATATTTACATGTCAGTAGTCTATGGAAATACTTGTTACACATGCCAGTAGGGCATTTTTACCCTCTGTATGTAGAGTAATTCCTGTGTATAAAGTATATTCCGCAGCCCAGAAGGTAGAATATAAGGTACGGTATTGGTGTATACCAACATTGTCTGTGGTGGCAATTGTTTCTGAGGTCCTAGTGGTTTATATCTCACGCACGCTGTAAGTTCCCTGTGGTTTGGCAGGGTCTCTGCTCCACACAGTCTCTCTCTCAGGGAGCCAGGCTGAGGGAGGCTGACTCATAGCTCCTCAATGCCATGGTATGGGAAGGGAGTGTTTGAGGGTCTTGAAGTAGCACTTAGGTGTTTTTACTCAGAAATGAATCACCGCCCTTGGCCATAACTAGTTAAATCGCCCCATCTAACCTCAAGGAGGTCAGTTAGAAATGAAAGAAAATTGCTACTCTAACCAGCTTGAGCCAAAATTAAGGAAGTGGGAGGTGTTGGCTTAATTGACTATAAAGTATAGAACTTGTCCAGCCTCAGATGTGGTTCCGTCCAGCAACTCAAATGATATTATCAAGGATCTTGGTTTTTTCTCTATATCTTTAGTTTCATCCTAGGCGTCTTTTAGCGGTACCCAAATGCCACAGGTGTCAGCCTCATGGGTGTCAGACCATCAAGGAAGAAAGCCTCCTCCAGTGGGAGGAGGAAGAGAAAAGAAGCTTCTCCTTTCCCCAAGGCTAAATGTCTTCTAATGTCTTTTTTTTTTTAATTTATTTATTTATTGTGTTATAGAGAGAAAATAAGAGGGGAGGGCCAAAGAGAGAGGGAGAGAGAATCCCAAGCAGGCTCCACACTGTCAGCACAGAGCCTGACGCGAGGCTTGATCTCATGAACTGCGAGATCATGACTTGAGCTGAAATCAAGAGTCAGCTGTTCAACTCACTGAGGCACTCACGCACCCCATTTTCTGTCTTAATAACATCCCTGAA